AATCCAGCCACCCTGCCCACAGCCCAAATACTTATTCTTGACAAATGGTTTTAACATTTTAACGTTCTATTCTATGATTCTAACATCTGCCGTTTCTTTGGGCTGAATGGCTTTGTGGTGGCACACAGGTTGGGGTGGTCGGGGACGAGGGGGGGAGGGCTTCTCTTGGTACTAATTTAAAACACTTGGAGAATTCATAACCATTCCTGAGATGTTTATGAGAAAATGAAAGCTGGTTGAGAACAGTTGTCCCATGGAAGCCACTGACTACCCAGTACACCCGAACACGATAGCCTCAAATTCCATGAGATGCTTGGATCTCATGGTATTTGCACAGGCACAAAGAGAAATACCATGAGCATGCAAGCGCTTGTTGTACAGGAGAGGGATGAGAAGGGGACAGAGAGGGTTGAGAATGGGAGAGAGAAGGACAGGAATACCAGAAACAGAACTGCACAGAATGTTTTCTGTAGGTCTGGTTCCCAGGATTACCAACATTCCCTAATGGACATACCTCGTGTGCAGCCACATTAACATCACAACTATTCCACTTGGCACGGCGCGTGCATTTCACTGGCAAACTCTTCTGTCTTTGGATGTAATCTGTGGACAGTTTCTACTATTGTTTTAAATAGTCTTCTTGGCTCCCAGCAGCTTTGCCTGGATAGATTCCCCCTTCTAGCTAAAAACAGAAATTAGACTGATCTCTTTTGGCAGCTGTGAAATGGTTGCATATTGTGTATGTTTTCTTGACGAGCTTGCATGAAATGGAATTCACTTCTCCTTTGATGGATACACCACTTTTAGCACAATGTCTCCACAAGATTAGCAAGTGTTCCATTTTTTTTAGAGAGTTTTGATGTGCATGTAATGTCATGTATGCCATTCCTGTACAGCATTATGAATAGCACATAAAGCTGTTTGAACAGGGAGACAGAACTGACGGAGGAATGTTTCCTCAGTGACTGTGCAATGTGATTTGTGACGGTGTGTAGTTTGCTAATCACAAAGATTGTCAATCGATGACAATTCCATGAGATTCACGTTTGAATTCGGACCACTTCCCAGAGCCAAATTCAGGTGCTGTAGCATATATGAAACAGGCTGTGCTGGGTCTGCCCTAAAAGCAGTTTAGCCCTATGTCCTGTAATGGCACTGCCCAGACTTGGATGCCTGGGGAAGATGTTTGTGGTAGCTGTTACTTTCTTACTGTGGTAGTTCTCACTTTCTTGCTTCCTTAGCCTCCAGGCTTTTTTAGCTCAGAATCCCCTAGCTCCTGGTTTCTGCAAATATTAGAGCCCTCAATGGAGAGAGAGGAGGTGCAACTTCCCCTGAAGACAACAGATATTACAGTGAAAAGCACCGTGGGTGACTGTGATTGCTCTGTCTTCTTGTGTGGTTACGTGCGTGAGCCTCAGTCTAGCCTGTGTTTCAGGGTAATGCTATTACTAAGAATAAAATCAATGAATGACAAAGGAGATGTTCCGAGGCAACAGGGAAAAGGCCAAAATTAGTGTAAAAGGATAATAATATTGTATGAGATCTTTATTATTAGAATATTATGAGAGAAAGTGGCTGGCATTCTGCCGTTCTCTTGCCCAGTATTTAATTTAGCCATGAAGGTCTTAAAGTTATATTCAAGAGAGTCTGGAGAGTGGGGGGGGGGGAAGGCATCTGTTCTTTCTTGAAATTAAAAGCTTTTGTGAGGTGGAGGTGGGATCGGTTACTTGTTTCTCTGACAGGGCTTCTCAAGATCAAATTCAAACGCAAGAAACACCAAGTACTGGAATCATTAGCAGAGTGGTATGGCTTTAGTTGTTTTGTACCGTTGGCCTGCCTGCTTGGTGAAACTCTTCAGTACTGGTAGGAGCCACTAATGGGGAATCACAGACTCTGGCCTTGTGGGATGTAGCCAGACCACAAGCTGAAGCTGGTTTAACTGTGGATTGCCAACAGAAGACTCCCCCATGCCTTCTTTTCCTCTGTTTCCAATTCTGTGTCTTCTCAGGGGGCTGCTGAGCCAACTGCATGGAGTGGGTGGGTAGAGAGGGGCTCCTATGGGATTAGTTTCCAGCTCATCACACTGGCAACTCGTGGGGGAGTGGTAAAAAGGTGCAGATAAGGAAACAAAACAGGCAACTGAACCTACCCACAGCAGCTTCTTGTTCAATCAGATTAAGACAGGAGTCAGCTCCCAGGGTTGTTATGTTTGTTTCTTCCTGCTGTGGGTACAGCAGAGTGCTGCATCTCCGGACAAGCCTTCATCCCAATGCCTACCTGTGCAGCCAAGTGGTTGTTAAAGCTGGGGCTGACGAAGCTTTCGGAGCCACTATGCACAGCCCATGGGGCATTGCTATCTCCAGCTTGGTGGATCTCCACGGAGCCAGGAGTCTTCCCAGGCAGACTGGCCCAGGCCCAGGGCATGGAGACATATGGTTGGTCTGTGGCTCTGGGGCAGGATGCCAGGGATGCAGGCAGCACTCCAGCTGAACCCTAGCTTGAGCTCTGCAACTGCCTTGTTTCAAGCAGAGCATTTTGGCCTCATCATGTAGGCATTCTTCCACCTGAATTTGGTTACACAGGAGTATTTTCAAGCAGCTCATTGTCACAAGTCTTCAGTTTCGAGCAGGGACAAAGAAGAAACAAGGAAGAAGTTACCTTCCAAGTTATTTGAGGCAGCTTTAGGTTATGGCTTTCCTCAAGGAGCTGGTCTCCAACAGATGTTTTTCCAACTAAATGTCATTTAACTGCCTTTAAACCCACCGGATGTGATAACCGTGGGTTCTGCTCTGTGACAGCAAAGTTGAACTTGCAAACAGGAGAAAAAAGGAAGTGTTCAATGGGAACTCCACTGGAGTTACCACTGGTGGACTGAAAAATCTGTGAAACAGCTTTAGTTTTGCTTGAAATGTCCCAATGGCTTGCAAAATTATACTGGACATGCAATATTGGAGAATGAAGCCCTGCTCATCTGCCAAATTAACAGCCTATAAATGCAGTTCATCCCCAAAGAGGGAGGGAAAAAAAACAAGAGTGCCCCAGGAAGGGTTACTGCAAAAACTTTTTTACCCTTTCTCCTCAATGGTAACTTTATCCACTTGTAGTTGTCAAAAATAGGGTCTTGCTTATACTCCTGCAACAGTTTGCGCTGTACTTAACTGTTTCTTTGTGGCTGCAGCAGATAATGTAATAGCTCCCTGCATAACAGCTGGAACAGCTCCAGCTATTCAGAGAGCAGAACTGGAAGAGCTGCTAACAACGGAGGTCTATGCAAAATCCAGCATTATTCCAGCGGATTCAGCTCCCTGGGCTCTGCCTTCCTCCGCCTCCCCCCTTCCTCTTCTCTTTCCGTTTACAACTTCCTTTGCCTGTGTATCTGTTCCTGAGGTTGCCCGGCCTCCGTCCTCACCTGACCTTCTGACTGCCCCCTGGTTCTTCTCCTCTCCTTTTGCCCTTTGATTTCTTCCTGTGGCTTTTGAACACCAAGGACAGTTCTGGTAAACATAAGGGTGGTTTATTTGTCTGGGGTGTTTGTGTGCATGGCGGGTAAGCACTATGGTTTATGCTAGCTTATGTCAAGGCTGTAGTGAACTCCGATTTCACACCGGTCTGTTCTTCCCACCCTCAGGATCTCTTCTTCCTTTATTCCTATCGACTCTGCTTTTCTCTTGCTGTTTGCTCTCACAGGAAATATATCTGCTCCAGTGCTTTTGCTTCCCTGCTGGCTTCCTCTGCAATCGTAGCTACCTTCTGCCCCTTCACATCACAGAAACAGCCTCATCCAGGTTCCTGGGACTTTTCCCATCCTGCAGCCTTACCGTTTCTTTTCTGGGATTGTTTCTCTGCATGGGCATGTCCAATTGTTTCCTTATGTTCACCAGCTGTTGTTCTCCAAGTCTGGCCTCCACGGGAGTGATCACAACTACCATGTCCTTAACCTTGCCTTTCTTCACTCTACACACTGTTACTGCTGCAGATGCTGGCAGCTCTCAGTTCCGCCTTCAGCTCTCTCCAAGGCAAGGGCACTAGGCATTCAGGCTGGCCACTGACAGCAATGCCCTGGGTGTCCTGGTAAGTGCAACGCGAAACAGCCCCTCAAAATAGCAATTGTCAGTTGAAAACTATGACTCATTTTGACACTTTTTGGCTGTTTTAACTGCGTAAACCATTTGTAGTGACTCAGTGTGAAAACTTGCCTGCGCAGCTTGCAAAAGGCGAGGTCAGTGCTAGAATTAGCACTGCACACTTCTTCTAGGGAGGTGGTCCTGAATGAAAGGGGACCCTGAGCCCTGGCAGCTGTCTTCCCACGCAGGGTGAAAAGCACCAAGAAGTGACTTCTAGTACTAACCTGACCAGCCGCCAGAAACAGATGCCTTTTGTTTTCAAATGGCCAATAAGATCAGATCAGCACTGGCACCATTGTCTGTGTTTTCACCCAGTGGAAGACTGCGGCATGGTGTAAACAATTATGGCACTGAGTAAGGCATAATCGATCACAGAAGAGCCACAAAGGATACGTTTGCCAAAGGATACATTTGCCAAAGCATGGTTTAAAGATCAGGATCTGTATAATGGAGCTAGCACACTTAAGACAGTGAAAAAGGAGGCATCAGCATTCTGTGGGGTGAAATATAAAATGGAGAGTCATAAAAAGACTTTCACAGTCCTTTACCGTTGTTGCATTTTCTGCATCACAGCAAAGCTCTATCTTCCACTTATCAGAAGGTCCCTCACTCTGATAAACTGGTATTTGTATTCTCAGTAACTAAAAACTAAATGCCTTGCTTCTTCCCAGATGCAGACTAGTTTACTGTTGTGCAGTGAGAGATCTTCCTGTATGATGTGGGTCCTGGTCATTGCTATAGTCTGAAAGCTTTAGGTTGGGGTCACTCTACTAAAATCAGGAATGGCAAAGGTGGGTGTTCAGAGACACCCCACAATATGTGGCCACAGGATAAAAAGCTGGGTCCTACAGGCAATATTATAACCTTCTAAAGGCTATAACCTTCTAAAGGCCACATCCTGTGGCAGTATCATCTCTCATTTCTCCTTTTCTGCCACCCCTGAACAGAACATCCTTTCTTTTGTTGTAGTGTTTTACAAATGAAAGGTTCCTTCCTCCTAGCCAAACCTTATGCTGATAAAGGTCAAGTTAAGCTGCTCTGAAACCTGGGTATCAGCACAGCTCTTCAAGATGCAGATAAGAACAAAGTTCCTTTGCAGAAGCAGGCGATTGAAATATAAGGAGTTTGGAAAACTGCAACACAAAGACATTTCTCCTCTAGACAAAAAGACAAGCAGATCCATCCAGAGTTCTGAGGCTTTAGACATAAAGGTTACAGCGTATGAAGAGAGTAGTGGTGAAGATCCACAAAAAAACAAGTGAAGTAGCAAAACTAATCCTGGCTCACAAGAACACTGAGCCTGACCCTCAAAACAAACCCAAGAGATCAAGTCTACCAGGAGAAGACCTGAATTTGTGAGCAGTTTGTGTATTTTCTGCTCTTTGATTCATTCTGGGCACAGATGTTACCACCTGGTTTCATCACTGCTTTTTCCTCCCCCAGATTAGAGCAATCAATGAGATCAGCTACCTTTAGCAGAAGGGTGACAAGCACCATGGTGTTTGGCTGCCTTCTGTATGTAACTGTAATAGTTAATTCAGGCTGCTCAGCCTTCTACAGTCTCCTACAGGGCTTTCTTAAATACCCTGTAGAGAAACTGTGGTTTGTATGACAGGTCAGGTGGGGCCAGCTTCCTGCTTCTGATCTCCCACACTAATTGATGTCAGCAGGCCTGCCAGTAGCGGCTGCTTACACATGGCACTCTACAGAGACACGGCAGGGAGCTTCCACCCAAGTTAGCAGCAGCTCAGACAGACTGACTGCATCAGTTATATTCAGATCGTGTTGTCAAGCTTTCAAGTGTTTGGAGGGAAACATCATCACACAGGAGTATGCTGTGTACCTGAGAGGGAAGAAGATTAACAAAAAGCAAGGAAGGGAATACAACCAAGAGAAGGCATGTTTTCCATATTTAGGCAAAGATAATATGGAAGAGATTTGTTTAAAGGAAGCTGTTTGATTCTGTCTATTTGAATTGTTACCTGTCTATCAATCCTCTTCACAACTGAAGGAAAATCTGACTTTCAATTGTTTAATCTTCTCTACACAGTTACCTGCAATTCTGTTTTTCAGTAGAGGTCTCACAAACCCAAACCCAGTATTAAGTACATTCTTACTCAAACAGAAATGTTAAAGCACTGTGCTTAAAGTACCTACAGCAAAAAAACCTCTCTAAACCTGCCGCACCTGAGCATACCTTTCTGCCCCAGGAACAAAGTCTTCTCAGAACAATTAGCTTTTCTTCTTTATTGCCAGTACGATACAGCTGAAGCTGATGAAAATCTTTGAGCATGTTTTACTTGAGCGTATAATACAGGCACTCAACAGAAGGCTGTAATGAAATGGCTGCTAGACAGATTAGTACAAAATCAATGAGTGACACTCATAAGATCACTGAGTTTTCACTGGTTTTACTGTTGCTCGATAGCGTTTGTCAAACCCTGCACAAGTCCCTCCTGCCATCATACTATGAACTTGTGCCCTTCCCGTAACAAAGGAAGCAACGATCGACAGATGCTGTCAAACCTCTTGATACCTTCAGCACCACTTCTTTAGCGCTAGTTTCCGGACAAAATCCACAAACAGCCTGTGCCCCTTGGCCTGACTCTTGCCTTCTAGTCTTTCCCAAATGGATCCTTTGAAAGGAGGTGGAATGCTCATGGACCAGCAATGCTGCCTACCGTACACAGTTTTCATTGTTCATGTTACTGCTGAGTAAGACCAAGATGTCATTTGTAGTACTTTCCTTTGAAAGCCACAGCAACAGGAAAATGTTTTACATGAACAATTGGAATTAGTGAGTCATCGAGAGGAACAGCATTCAAAAGAATTATTTTGTATTTCTGACCTTAAAGCATTCATCTTGGTGGATTTCTACAACAGGTAGCTAAGACATGTGAGTGACAAGCATATCTCAGCCTCTTCTGGGATGGAGTACAGACACACCCACTCGTAATTACTTAAGACCAGGAGTGAAAAAAAACGCAGTGAAACTACCCAGTAAGTGAAGGACTGGCATTTCTCAAATTGTTATTTACTCTTAAGTAAAAACCTTTCAACCCTGCTGATACCAGTGCTCCCTGGGAATAACTGCTTGCAAAATGGTAAGGCTAGGAGGCTGAAAGACAGACATTTCCAGCAACACCAAGCCCTGGAGCAACAGCGAAGTATTAGGTAATACCTGAGAAAGCCCTGGTAATGGTGTTTGCTGAAGAGAGAAATATACTGAGAGGAGGAAGTGGCAAACAGAAAGCACTTTTGTAATCTGAGAGCCTCCTGTGGAAATTCCCCACCTATGAATAGTGTTCATGCAGAACAGCCAGTGTTCATATCCTCTGTTTACTTAAACTCACAGGTACTAATCTCACCGGCCAGGCTTTTCCCATGTTTTATTTCACTCCTTTGTCAGAAGCCACTGAACCATTTCCTGAAACGTTAATACATCAACGAGAAAGTGGAAAGCAGTGCCACTGCAGAACTGGGACAGGGCCTTCAAAAGCATGTTGTGATGCTGCTGAAGTCGACTGCTAGTTTCGACCAAGTGACAGGCAGGAGCATGCCACCTCATGTGCGCATGCACGTGCAGCTGCCTTGTGAAGGCACACTGCAGCATTGACATTCAGGCAGCAGGCTGAGAGCCAGCGTGGAAAGAAACAGCATCACACTAATTTCTTCCTTTTTTAATTAACATTTGTCAGACTTGGAGAGAAGCCCAGACTGCAAAAATTTGGACACAAAATTCTAAGAGCTCAGAAGCTGGAAATGTTCACATACAGGCTCTTCATTTATGCCTAGTCTTCTAGTCTTTTTTTATAGGTCATGCAGAGATGACTTAATTGCTCTTACTGTAACTTACAATTAGCAGTACAGTGATTTTTTCTTGTATGTCATGGTGCACAGCAGAGCTATGCTCCAGTGAAAGTGACAATGTTTAATAGTAGGTGGGCATTTGTTTTCAAGAAGGAATTTTCCCTGCAGTTCCTCTCTTGCGGGTGGGGGAAGAAGAAAGCCTTTATTGCCATCAGCAGCAAAGAGTGAGGATATTGTGACCCGATCCAGGAGTTGTTTGTAACGGTTGGTGGTTTCTCAAATTGATGTGAACTTCTAGTTCACCTTCCTGCGCAGCACTTATCGATGCAAGCTCAAATGATTACTTGTGTCATTACCAAAATACTGAATTCTTGACATACGATTGAAAGCCAGTATTAAACTCTTGCAATTTCAATGCTAAGTCGCTAACTTTTCTCTATACAAGAACCAGATAAAGAGGTAAAAATACTGCATTAATTTGCACTTTTTACCAGCACAGCACATAATATTCAGCAAATCATACCGTCTGCTGACATTAGAAGAGAATGGGGACTAGAATATTACATTTATTAAAGTTAGATGGTAATGCACATAACATCACTCTCAAACATCCTAAATGGCCTGTAAACAGCACCTCTGATAGGGTTCCAGGGTTCCAAGCACTAAGGCTGCTTCCAGTTCCTAGCAGGGCACTTGCATCCTTTACATCCTAGCCTAGAGATAAGATAGCCCAGGGAAATAAGACATTGAGTTGTATTACGAGGTTCAGAGGCATTTCAGAGCTGCAGAAACCCTAACAAGTAATAACGTTGCTAGTGTTCCTTTCCTGCAGCTTTGAGGAGCACATGCAGGAGAGTGAGCTGGTTACTGATGAGCCTTCCTCAGCCGCACGTTTCCGAGGGCCAAGTCTCCACTCTCCCTAAGGCCACATAAGACTGAACTATTGCAGTCCTCACGGCAAGGACAAACCCCATGGCTTCTCTGACCAGATTCAAAACATAAAACTCCTCGTCCCTTCTGTGCTACTTCTGGCTCTGTCTACAGCAAGCTGCTATTGATGACGTGTAGCAGTCACACCATGCCTCCATGCTGATGTATTTCAGAGGACTGAAAACGTTAAAAGAGACCTTGGAAGGGGACAGCTGTATATAAAAGTTAACTCTGCAAATAGTCCTATCTGTCCCAAATATTCCCCAGAAGAAGAGAGACTGTTCTATAGCACAGCACAGCTCCACATGCCTCCCTACTAACGTAAGGACACCTTTGTTTTGTTGGTTTTCAGTTCTGACATTGCGTTAGATAATGAGGATGGATGAAAGACGTGAATCAAGTGATTTAATTTTAATGTGGCTTCTGCTTCCTGCGCTGATCTAGCAGTGGAATAATTACACAGATCATTGCTTTTTTAGAACAGCCTTTTAGGCTGCTTGTGACAGACCTCATTACTCTCCTCATGCTTTTAAGGAAGATGGCGTGGCCATTTGCTGGGTCAGTAAGACTCCTTTCAAAGCAGGGTCAAGTAGTTTTACTGTCCAAATAGGCAAATACCATTCTTTGCCAGGTAACAAGGGCCACGTATCACTCTTGAGACAATAACAGAAGTGTCCTGCTTAGATTAATGCAGTTCCAGACAGTACTGTGAAAATTCATGTTGATTAATTACATCAAATTGGCACACTATTTTAGAATTACTCCGGCATAAAGGAGGACAGCTTTTCTTCCGGAGATTTTTCTACCCCATTAGAGGGATTTTGGCCACGCTTGTCTCAACAGATTCACTTCTAATAGAATAAAAGGCTCAATTCATAATAGAAGGTTTTTGATTAATTGTTTGTTATATTAGCATGAAGGAGTAGGTTTTGGGAGCGAGTATTTACATAAACAGCACTTATGCAGCACAACATCTGCAATCAAAAAGCACGAGCGAGCTGCTTTGCAGGCAATGCAGAAGGAGATTGCTTTATCTTAGGTTGAAGTAAACCCACTGTTAAAGTAAATATGAAATAGCAACACCACTTAACAAAGGGAACATGAATAATAACTTTTCTAATTTAAGCTGAATGTGGGAGGATATAGGTAGGCAGCAAAATAAGTTGAAAACCTATTTCCACTGTGATTCATAGAGATTTTCAGCAGTTGCTTGCATAGGTAAATTACAACAGTTGACATTCACATACAGTTTTTCACTTATTAAAATCTGATGGGCTTTTTTCTTTTGGCAATTGAAATACTGATGCACAGCAAAGTTAAGAAACTGGCTCATGGTACTGACTGTGTCAAGTGTCTTGGCTTTCAGACACAGAACCGCTCCACCGATTCTGCAAGATACCACTCACCTTTAGCGAGAGAAGCTACTTGTAAAGGGAGTGGAATTGCCTACAGAAGGAGGGGAGGATTTTAACATCACTGGAATTGTACCAGTATTGTCTGTGACTTATGAACAATGGCAACCAAAAAGATGTACTAGTAGCTGAATAAGGTTATTTCTTTGTTTCACGGTCCTTCATTACCAATAATGTCTAGAATCACTCCCTACCTACACATTTACCAAGACAAAGGGAGCTCCCTGCTGCCATTCCATTTCCAGCACCTTCCTCCTACTTCTCATTCCGTATTACACAACCAGATTTGGCAACATTTTTCCTTAACAGAGATGAAAATTGGGTGTTCTGACTCAAGAGCAGAAAACAAGAATAATCCAAGAATGTCCACGGAGCTCTACTACATACTATAAATGAAAGCAGCTATTGACCCAGTGCTCTTATAAAGCGATCCTGAGACATGATGTCACATGGGTAAAAACTATAAAGCCAACAGTAATTTTCAAACAGTGCTTTCCACATTCTTTGGTCTTACATAGATTGTGTTATCATTGGTTCTGCTAGACACAGTGTAAAAGTAAAACCATCCATACCAATCTGCCTAGGGGACAACTCACAAAAAACAAGTGAGGAATAGGGTAGTTGTGTAGGGCTGCCCTAGGAGTGTGCCAGTATCATCCAAACGTTAGTTTCTTGCTTAATTCATAAACTTACTTCAATTCAAAGCAACAATTTACTTGTATTTGCAACTGATAGCAATTTTGACCCAGCCTTTTAGAAAGGGCAATGCTGTATTATTTCAATATCAGCTAAATACTTGATACTGAATGCATGTAAATGACAGTAACAGACACTCAAAATTCCTTTCAAGTCCTTTGCAAGCAATTTCCTCTCAGCACTGTAGAGTATCAAGATTACAGGCTGTCAGTATCATTCTATAGACTTTCACACTACGTAACATTCTCCAGTGAAGTAGAGAGGTTCATTAATAAGAATTTATTAGCATATTTGGAAGGGATCTGCAGTAAATCTTTACAGCACGAAGCTACAAATGGCTCCATGTTCAGTCTAAAGTGTGCGTATTACTTCTTAAAAGGGCATGGCAAGCATCTTGTGAAAAATAAACATGAAAGAAAGCTTTCCTCCCCCAACAAAAAGGAAGCTTCTGAATTATCAAACAGTAGAAAAATTGTATTTTGGGCAAACCACATCAGCTCCAAACAACTTTAATAGGCACCTACTGTGGCTTCAGGAATCATCGCTGCATGCATATCTCTAGCCATATTGGATTTCTCTTTCAGCTTTGACTGGAGTAATGTGTGTTCCATCACACCAATTTGTATGTCCATATGAATGGTTTCTTGCTTCAGTTTTGTTAAGGCCTGTTTAATCTTCACTAGAGGAGCTGTTGAAAAAGAAACACATATATATAAACAGGGCAGTTCTGCCAGCTACTTCACACAAAAGCATTATTTTCTACAATTTGCACCTTCAAATTGAAGAGCTGAAGGAACAAAAGGGCATTCTACTCCAAAGACATGGTTGAACTGATACGTCATTTTTAATGTGCAAGATGCTTTAAAGGTAGAAATAGGCGATGACAATTTTGCTGTCTTCTTGACATCTAAGATCTGCATAAAGACATGCATCAACATTGAGATAGGTTTGTCAATGATGTGTTTTGCTCAGCTGAAAGCTTCATGCTGATACCTGACTTAGGGTTTGGTAGAGAACTGAAGTCACGTTCACAACTTACCTGTGATAAGCTGTTAAACTGGGTTGTGCTCCATACTTTGTTTCTCATCCCTCACTTCCCACTAATATCACCAGAGGGATGCTGCTGCTGTATCATAGTCCTCCTTAGATGTTATCCTGACCCCTCGGCCATGCCATAATACAGAAAAGGTATTGCGAGGCAGGCAGGCAGCTCCTTTGCAGTGAAGCAAGGGTGCACTAAATTTCCTTAAATGATAACACTTACAACTACTTAACTAAATTAACTGCAATGGTTACAGTTAAATATAGATACAGCTTGCATATTTAGCCCTACTGTAATATGCATCAATTTATTTCTGCATTCATACTCCTTCAACGTTTGCAACAGAATGCATTTACCAGCAAACCCCCTCAAACAACCAAATCCCGAGCCTGAAACAAATGTTATGCAGTTTAAATATTAAATAAGTCTAAATATCAAGACACCAAAATGAGTTTTCTCACTGACTCCAGCCAGCCACAGTCAGGGAATCTAACAGCTACTGCCAGTAACTATTTTAGAGCAAAAGGGCTTGAACCTGTAATGTGATCATTTCTCCCAGCGGGTTGATAACTCTTCAAATAACTATTCCAAGCAGAGACAAACCCCTTGTTCTTTCTTCCAGTGTTTACAAATAATTTACCAAAGGGGGAGATCCTGGCATCTCTACCTTCTGAAGGCTTACGAAACCTTTTCAAAGAGATTTAGACTCCTGATTGTCTTAAACACCTTTTACCATTTTAATATTGCTATTTCAGGCTAGTCACTCACTGTGGTCTAGTTTTGTTTTTCCTTTTACAAAGGCCAAGTTATGTAACTGTCACTGAGGAAATGGGTGTTTGGTTTGAGGCAAAAACATACTTACCACCATCAGTCATACTGCTTCCTTTCTCTTCCGTTTCCTGCTTTACTCTTTCTAATGCTTCTGTAATCTTAAAATAGACATTTTTTTCTTAAACTAGATGAAATTCAAATAGAAAAAGAAACCAATATAAAGTTCTCTGCTGACTAACTGCATTAGTTTAAAAAAAAAATGAACTAATCTTTGTTGTTGTAAATGGAGGAACAATTATTTTCAAAGATTAAGCAAAAGTTCATTTCAATAAACTATTGCTGTACAAATTACAGCAAAGAGAGTAGCAAGTTGGCCAAACAGCGTGGTGTTACTGACACTCTGCAGATCCCAAACCAGCGAAAACAGTGTAAGTGTTACAGTATGATGGATGGAAGATTGGAAGCAATACCCCCACAGACATTCGCATGTACATTTGTTGAATCTTGATTCACCAAATGACCATACCAGCTTTCCTTCTGGAAGCACAAACACATTATAAACCTGAAGTCATTGTAAAGTACTCTTTTTTAAGCTTAAAGAAGTAAGTGTGATACAGAAAGAAGCTCTGACTATGCAGGATCCATACACTCTGACATCTTTGCTAGAAAACTGATAAACTGCTGTATCACCCACTGCAGCTGGGCTAGATGGTTGCTGTAGGTTGCTTCCAACAGACCTATTCTATTCTAACACATCTCAAACTTGGTTTACAAGTTATAGTGTGATCTCTTTTAGGTGACTATTCCACTTTATAACGTGTCTAATGAACAAAGTGGAGTTTTCAAACCCAAGCAACAGAGCTGTTAAAAATCTAATTTCTGAATTGGACAAAGGGTTGAAATATTTGTCAATCAGGCAATAGATGTGAACGAGATGGCACGAAGCACTCGACATACAGAGGCAGCTATGAAAAAAACTGCAGATTTCTCTTTACATTTGTCAGGGCACTGATTTCAAAAACAACCACCAAAAAAACCCCAAACAAAAAACAAAGAAAAAAAACCCAACCCCCCCCCAAAACCAAACAGAAAACCCGTTTCAGGTATTAAGATAATTTGACTAATATGGAAAAGTTACCATTTAGTCAAATATTTGCTTTTAAGAGCTTGGAAGAGGAAAGGTTCAAATGATTAATTTTAACTAAAAAGATTTTAATTTTAACTTAAACTTTCCTTCTTACAAAGAATTTATGGCCACAACTTGATTAATCCTCAGTTATCCTAGGATACATGTTCTACAATACAGAACATTTACCATCTTTTACAAACTGAGGAAATTAAGATCTCACAATAGTTTGCCCAATTCACAAGTTAAAAATCAGTGGCAGCCTGGGTTTAAACATTAGGGACTGGACTATATCACATCCACTAACCAAACAGATTAGCAGAGAATAAATCAGAAAGAGCCGAGTTCATAAAACTGCAAACACTAAATACCAACTCTGTTTTAAAATAAGCAAAAGAAAGATGTGTTTTACCTCAGAGAGCACTTTAATCCTTTCAGTTACTCCTCCGCTTCCCTCCTGGTACTTCTCTTTAGCCTGGAAAGAAAGGGTTTTTGCTGTAACGACATAGCTGAAGAAATGCATGCAGACAGCTTAGAGAGAACACCCAAATTTGCTCTCACACATCCCAATTCTAGAAACTCTCCCACAAAGTCCCAATGACGTTTATAGCACTACACATATGACAGGACAGGCCTGAAACATCAGCCCCTGTAATGACTGTCTTTCTTTTTGAAAGATAATTTAATTTCATTAAAGCAGTTTTAAGACTTGTAATAGTCCTAATACACACAGAATAAATATGTTTTCCAATCCTTTACATGAGGAAATAAACATAATTTACTAGAATACAGGCAGAATTGAGTCCTGCAAACCAAGAACACTCCTTTGTCAACAGCAAATTATGATCTTGCAGTTTCTTAAAGTTTAACAGCAAGGCAAACAGAAAGCACAAAAGGTCAAATCCTGTTAGCCTTATTTTGACACTAGGAGGGCTAGCCAAATGGCAGCTTCTACAGGCCTCCTACCTAGGGGATCAAAAAGCTTCTCAAACAGCACTCTTTTGGCATAAAAATCAAATGAAGCGAAGAAGTAATCAGAGTGCTTTGTGCACATTAGCACAAGTAATCAATGTAAGAGATGAGTGCTGGACTAAGACTGTAGTTTTCCCACTCATCACAGATGGGTGAACTTCACAGGGAAAGCAGAACTAGCAATTTACTAGCTGCTCAAGATTGGCAACAGATTTACATATTATCCAGGCAAAAAAAAACATTTACTTTCCCCTGTAGAACAGTTGAATAAAAACTGCTAGTTTAGCTGAAAACTATATAATTCGACAGAAAATCGACATTTCCTCTGCTTTAAATCCAACACAATTCACCAGCTAAGTCTTCTTTGCCTTCACTCTTACTTAATAGCAAGTTAATACTAGAGAAGGCAACAGCAAAAGATGAGTGCATTACCTCACTCAGCAAGGCTTGTGCTGAACGGTACTCTTGAACCAAGTGCTCCAGCTGATTGTTGATGTACTTTTCCCTGCTATTGATCTTTTCCAATGTTTTGCTGATTTCATTATGGAGTTTGTCAAGGTAACCCTAGAAAATCATGTTGTGAGTTGAGTATACAGATAATACACAAAGGGTATTAGAATGGTGCTGTAATTAAGAAAGGATATATAAACCTACAAGTGAGAGAGGAAAATAGTACAGAAATGCTGTGTTTAGCCAACAAAAGATTATTCCTAATGTGTTCTAGTTGGCCCATGTCAAAACCATGTATTTCAAGCTCTACTGCTTCCATCACTCACCCTCCATTAATTATAAATGTCAATGACAGTAAGTTACTCTAACAACAGCGTTTGACCTATTTGTTTTTATTACCAGCACTTGTTTTCAGATTGTATTACTGTAGTATTCTATTTTACCCTCTGTAGCCAGGATGTACTTACGATAATGCATACGTTTAAAAACCCTAATATCTCTGTTAAACCTCACATATACAATTCTCACATTGGGTATTTTGCCAGTCCCACTGTCCCTAATCACCATTACTGTGTTTTACAGTGTTAGCACAGAGGAAAAAAATCAGTCTAGTTCTTAACATCTATCAAATTAAAGAGGAAAGAAAACCACTGACAGAGCAGTGAAATGTTCTGCACATACAAGACATACCCTAGTTTCTTTCAAAGAAGATTCAATTCCATCCTTATGCTGATGCATTTGATCTACATGAATCCTCCAATCCTGAAAAAGATGCCACAAAGTAAAACGTAGGTCAGTACAACTTTTATCTTTCTCTGGTTACTAAACAAAGGCTGTTATGCATGGCAGGGTCAGTTCTCTTTTATACTATTACCATGCATCATACTGCCTGTGCCATGTTCATATCCAGAGGCACTTGCTTAATGTGACACAATTTATAAGCCTCCTAAATGTCCCACGTGACACTCCGATCCATACACAAACACTGACATTTCTCTACATCACAGTAGCTATGCTTTTTGGAGTCTATTTGATCTTCATGGAACTATTTCTGTTTGAAACCACTCTGGGCACAAATATTGAAACTACTGATTACAGCTGCAGGAGTTCACCTTATTCTTAGACAAAATGAGTGCTTCAAATGTCCAGCAACTACCACTTCCAGATCTTCCTTTTCTACTCAGCCCCTACTATTACCAGGAGAGATAGGAAAGAAATGAGAGAGGCAGAAATACCTAAACTTGTTTTTTGATAGTGGGACAAAATTAGGATCAGGAAAATTACTTTCAGCTTCTAGGTCATAGGAATCATACATGGGCCCAGGGATGGGGGATGAGAAAAGCTGCTGGTTTAACTTAAAGGTGGCATCTTTCACATAGAAATTAATTCCAATTCCCACGTTTGTGACCGATTTTTCCTTATCAGTGCATAGTTTTTACACCTCCCAGACCCAAAGCAGAGCTGCAGACAGACTCAAGGGTACAAAATGAAGCAGAGCAGCAGCACTGCAGAATTACTGCTATTTCAGTATTGTGTTTCTGAACACGCTAAAAACCGTTTTTCAGCTTTCTAAGTTTTTGGCACTGTACTGGTCTAGGTGTGGAAAAACCCAAAACCAAAAGCAACTCACGTTAATAAATCTGTATCGGTTGAAATCAAACCTTAGGAGACTCTCTTGTAAAAGGATAGGTGGAAGGGTAGGTAGGATTATGTGGTGAAGGACTTTGTCAAAAAGGATGGCAAGCAAAACAGAGAGAGGCACAAAACTGACTAACAATAATGGAGGCAGCAATAAGAAATAAACCTGGCTAGTTACAATAATGGAAAAGGGCATGGGGAGGGTGATGCTTGCATCAGTACAATTACCTGATCAAGGACCTTACCAAAACAGGATGGTAAGGAAATGAGGGGCAAAAAACCAAACCTATGGAGAACCAGACCTATCAAGAAACAAAGCTCATCAGTTACACTAGCTGATAGGCTTGATAGAAACTGCAAGCATCACTTCAAAGAAGGTGAACCTGGCCCTTGCAACTGGTAAGGATGCAAACCTGCAGGTTCTGGATATTCTGGAGAAGGGTAGGGTTGGTGCAACTATGTAAGCTGATGAAGCAACATGCAGGGGAAGAGGCCTGGTGAGGAACAAAGCAGGGAAAAGAGGGGTACAAGAGGGGCTGGTCACATGTTAACTGTTGCCAGTCATTCCACTTGACTGACTGAGCCCTGTGCCCTGTCACTGCAGTCTGGCTCATCTTCTTATTAAATCTTTAAAACTACATTTATGTGCAGTCACAGTCTTTATCCCATGTGTGTATGAGTACTGCAATGACTAAGTGACAGCTGCTGGTGAGAGGGCATATGGGGCCAGCAACTGGAATCAGGCCAGGCCTGCAGGTGCCCCACACCTGTGGTGTCTGCAGGCAGAAAGAGTGGTGGGTCTTGGTGCCAGCTGCAGGAGGAGGTGAAGGTCCTGGCCACCAAGGCAGGACTGGCATGTGTCCCAAAATCCAGGTATTGGGAAGGACCGGCATGAGTAAAGCAAATATGGGACTCAGAGCCAGCAGCTGGAGTGGGACTGCAGGTCACCAGCCTGTGTTGCTGGTGCCAGCTGCTGGGGTGGGGACAGGCAAGTGTTTGCATTTTCCCTAAACCTGCTGTGCACGCATAAAATTCAACAGCAGACTTAAAACTGAACTAGCTGTCAAGTAGTAGGCCCTATATCCAGGCCTGGATATGAGGCAGGCACAGGGGACCCACAAATGTAGTGCCCTTAAGCTGAGAACGTGACTGTGTCCATCTGTTTGCTGGCAAGCACCAAGCTGGAATAGCCAAAAGTAGAAGAGCAATGAAACAGTTAAGAATGCCCAGGATCCAGGCAGAAGGATCAGACAGAGAAAAGGACCATAGTTGAGTGAGCCATGAATATGCATGTGTGCATATGCTTGTGAATCTAGAGAGAAGGCAGGGTGTGCTTTCACTACTGAACTTCAATCTTAATTAGCTGAAGAGGAGAGGAGGAAGGCTTGGCTGTCTATACTTGTATTTTATGGGAGCCCTAAAAGTGCTGCTGAAGACGGTGCCTTGTTTGTGGCACTCTGTGTAGCTGGCCGTGTCAAGGTCTGTTGTGTCTTTATGTGATACACGCTTGACTTCACTACCAGTTGAACCTGCAAAAACAGGAGCTGCATCCATCACTTTGGGATGGGGACCCATGAGTCCCCAGGCACACAGGGCTGGGCTGCAGCAGCTGAGCAATAGGAATTCCTGATCCTGTAGCTCCTGGAGGGTACAGTTATTTAAAGGGTATGGGCAAGGAACAAATCCTGGCTTAAAACAGCTGCACGCTCCTGCAACCACAGGCAGTTACGCTGATCTGAAGTGAGGCTATCCCCTTGCATAGGACACACACAGAACTACCAAAGCTCTGGTGTTTCTGTCTAACTCAGAAGAGCACAGCTGAGCACCTCCAACAGCTGTTCAGCCCAGAAGGTTCCCTCACTATGCGCTGTTGTGCATGACAGTACAGAAGCTAGAAAGAGAAGAGTCCTTTTTTCATGTTCATTTATATATATTCCTTAAAGCCAAGAGATGGTGCATTAAACTGGAGGCTAGTAAACCTCAGTTCTTCCAGTGGCTTTAATTTTCCCTGTATGTCCCTATTACAGTTTTCATTTCTTACTGTGAGAATCAAGCATCATGTTCTCTGTAACGGATGGGCTTGCCAAGAATCACAGAAAGGTGGCTCAAACCAGGCAATTTTTCACATGAAAGAATGCAGTATAGTGTAAAACAGGCAAGCAGTTTAGCAGACAGTTGAGAGCTTAGCCTATTTTTGGCAAGATAATTATCTTTCATTGAATTTTGTATCAATGCTGCAGATTGCTCCAACACCCCAACTAGCAGGTCAGTAGAAGTGAATAGTTTTGATACTGCACTGATCTGTGTGTGCTATAAAAGCTCCTAGAAAGAGTGAAAGCTCCTAGAAGTAGGCCCTAGGTTTGCCAAAGATAAATAAGTATTTCTAAGATGCTCATTCTAGACTCATAGAAATAGGTTATGGAGAGAAATGCACGTTTCTAAGAGGTAGGTATCTGGATAGATACGTAAAATCAGTTCAAAAAGCACCGACTCCTTTTTGCTAAACCTATGGAGAGCCCATGATGACTAGATCAGAGGTACAGACCTACTTTCTTGTCACGTAAAGTTCAGCAAGATGAATTCCGTACAATCAACGTTTCATGTGGTTGACAAGCGGAACAGTTTGAAGATAAGCAGCTCATCAGTTCTCTTGCAGGAAGATGTTTTAATCATCATCAGCTGCTAAACTGGACCGGTGGTATAATTTTTCAAAGTGTGAATACCTTGGAAATGTTTAAGAAGTTTCCACAGAATGAATACATGGAAATAAATACGTAGAAATAAGGTGCCCTGGAAGTAGCAGAAGAAAGAATTCCTATATAATAAGGACCTACTGAAAATTACTGCTTCCAGGGTCAAAGTAAATGACAAAGATTTTGACAAGAGCCCATTATTCACAATATTTGGCACAGCAAAAGAAGAAATGGTAAGGAAACAACACTGATTGAAATCATGCTTTAATCGCCATGTGTACGCACACAAATCCATTCTCACATACCTTGTTGTCGGTCCTGACTGTAACTTTCAGCTGTGGAAGCACACGTTCCACTTCCAGATTCCACTCTACCGCATCTGTCGTGGACTGTAAAATCTCTTCATGCTTTGGAGTGTCATTCATGTCCTGTGTAAGAAATCACAAAGCTTATATACAAAGTATCATCACTTTGATCAGTGAGAGCTATTAGAAATCATGTTACAATAGCTTACAGTATTCATATTCAGAGAAAATATTTATATCCAGAATGATGTAACAGATGTCTTTAATAGCTTTCTTTGAGTGCATAAGGATTAGTAATCAAAATATTTTCTCATCAAAGAAAATGGAAAAGAATCAAATGTGTATAATAAGAAATTACAATAAGTAGCAGAAATAGCTGGGGGGGGGTTGTGTGTTAAAATATATTTATGAAACAAATACCACGCTTCCCTAAAAGTCTGCAATAATTTCTTGCAAATGTTTCCAGCAACCTTGCAGTGATTTCAGTTTAGAAACTGCCTGCCCATTTCTGTTTCAAATAAGCCGATGCATTTCAGTTGGAATGCTTCCCCAGGTTTAGACTATAGAAAAGATTTTCAGACTTAAATACAACAGAAAGAAATTGCTGCTACAGATGTCAAAATCTCAAGAGAGAGGACTGCTGGTAACAACTTACTGATCCGTACGTTTGTCCCTGTGGAACATTCAGGTCAATAAAATCTTCTTCATTGTCTGACTCTTTTTCCTGAAGAAAAGTTGCAAAGTAAAACTTCAGTTAAGTAATGAGCAATCTTCCTCCATCATTTCATTTTGCAGGAGCACAGGACAAGGAGTATTAAATTCTGTATTTCTGAGCAAAACAAGACGTGAAGAGTTTATGGCAAATGGAGTTTGCATTTACTTAAAATCTCATGAGGAAACAATATCTGGGATGAGGTGCAAGATAAAAGGGAGCCCACATTTCCCTCAGGGAAAGTATTCTAAAGGCCCGTTATTTAAAAACTAAACCAACCCAAACCTAAGCCCTCTCACATCAAATGGGCCATTATCAATAGCTGGATAGTAACTGTTATTTCTTATGGGTTTCTGAAAGCTCTGCATTAAAAATAAAACCAAAGCAAACCACAAGCAGACACATAGTTTTCAAGATGCTTTTTGCACTGCATCTTTGGAGCTACAGAATGATGCCACTTTTTAAGCACACAAAATGATCCAATTCAAACTGAGGCAATCGATTTGTTCTCTTGCCCACGACACTACACACTGGGCTGATGGTTTTATAGAATTCTCTATTATCATCTCAAAATTGCATTCCTCAGTGACCACAATCAGCTCAGAGACCATCACTGCATAAGTAAAGTCAAAGCTGCTATTTCTGTGCATTACTCTCTGTTTATACTGAATGTCACCTGCCATTTTATCATGCACACACTTCACCCTTATACATGCTGTCCTTCTGTAGTTCTTCTGTGAACCATCATCTTCTCCACCAAAGTCAAATTCCATCATCCACCTCATTTCTAGACAAACCATGAAAGCTGCAATAACACAGGTCTTAAGTAGATCCCTTCAAGACTCAGTTAGTAAAAATCTGGGAGCTTATTCCTCTGTGTTACCTCGCTTTTAACTAACCAGGAATACTTCATTTTCCTCTGGCATGTTTGCCCCTAGTCCCCTGAATACCTGCAAGAAATTAATGGCACCTTGACTGGGACTATCTTTTGCTTAAAGGACAATATATATTTGCACAGCACTTAGAAGAAGACACTACAACACTACCACAACAACAAGACTAGCTGTCAGAACTGAGAAACCAAACTGTGCAGATCTCCTGGCATACCCGGCCTCACTGGTTACTGCTGGCTACCTAAGATGGACTACTCAATCCCTCAGATTTACAGCACTATGCTTGTCTCTGTCAGCCACATCAGTTTTAGTCAGAAGAATCAAAACCAAAGCACAATCAATGAACCTCATTGTTAGAATTTAACTACTAGAAATACTGCTAAATTCAATCACGGATACAGCTAATACATCCAGGACACATCAATATACTGGCAGCAACAACTGATAGGGAGAAAACTCCAGGAACAAACTTGCCAACAAAGTTTTCAAGCTCACAAGCAGGTATTCTTTATTGCGGCACCAGGAGACACAGGGGATAGCTCCTCCTAACGTGTGTCTCCCCATTGCCACACAAGCTGTCCTTTTATAGCCACTGGGCATACATACATATTCATGAGGCTATGTATGGATTACATCATTTTCCAGAGAGTTCCCCGCATACGTACGGAATTGTGGTGGTGGTCTCTGAGGGTTGTTTACTTCTTCCAACGATCTTCATCACTTCTGGCAGCCTTTGAAGCACGCGCAGTAGATGCTCATACCAGTTTAATTGCTTCGTTAGCACCAGAGACATAATAATCCTCCTATCCTCCTACTTATCAGTTAGTTTAGCTGTAGCCCATCCTGGACACCTGCGGTTCCCGGATACTCCTTATCCCTGTGTCCTGTTCTTCTAGGCTGTTTTTCTTAAACTATGTCACAACTATAACAATTTATCTTGTGAGAATTCTCAGTATGTTCTCTAGCTGTACTCTATTTTTTTTCTCTATGTATCACAATGGACTGGTGAAAAAATTTACAGTGGCATATAATTAATAACCATAGAACCATTAGGGGCCCTAAAAAGTGATGCTCCACTTGGTATAAACCTAGCTCAACAGTTTCATTAACTTACAAACTTGGAAAAGCTAACAGAAGTGCAAGCAAATCCAGAAGCTCTTTGAAGGGTTTCACTTGTGCTTTAGTGAACTGTTTCATCCCCACTTTCCAATTTAAACAGCTTAGACCTTAATGAGACACAGAAAAGAGCAGACTGAAGGCTGTTTTCACATTTAAAGCTTTTAGCCAACAGCTTACATTTTGGAGGCTGGTCAGACACGCAATACAGAATGTCCCTTACTCCTAGAATTACCCAAGACCTTTTCCTGTGGAGACTCCAAAGCTGACAAAAATGAACCCAGACATCCACGTCACAGTATGTGCATGTTGTATGAAAGCTAGGAATAAAAGGGTGGAATTTTTTTTGGCGGATAAAATTGAGAGGAATAACACAATACATAGGAAAACTGTGAGGAGAGGAGGAAAAAAAGGGAACAGTTGATGTTGCATTCCTGTAGACCATTGTGGCTTACAAATTTGGGCTATAATCAAAACAATCTGATAACATTACTGGTGCTTTATTTCCAACTTTTATGACCTTTAATTTTTCCCCAACAGTTGAAAAATGTAGACTCAAAAAAATAGGGTAATTGTGGCATTTTCCACCCAGTATTGCTGGGCCTTAACGCTCCAGAAAACTGATGTCTCCTCAAGTTATTTGATGACACAGCAAGTGAGCACTCCCAGGCTCACAGCTTTCAGTCTTTTGGTTTTCATCTACATTTTATTTTGCAAAGATTCATCAGCTTTTGGAGAAATGAGATGTGAAACTGACTTCCTTTTGTAATTTTCACGTTATCTTCAGCTAACTTCCCTCTTCAGAAACATCTTAAGTCAGCAGTAAAAAGGCTCACTTCAAGACTGACAGAAGCCTGTGAAAAAGACAATGTCTTGTGATCACACTATGCCACAGTGAGAATCCATCTCTCATAAAAATACTCTTCTGAGAAAGTCAACCAGCAAGAAACAAACTTCTGTTCAACACCTATCCACCAGTAAGTCCTAAAAGCATATTTGAACGTACAGGTATGTTTCATAGGCTTCTTCCTAGACAACTTCACTGTAATTATTACAGATAAAAAGGAATAAATAAAACAGCCGATCCTCAAACATCGCCATCTTGTTGGTAGAAAGTATTTCAAAGCACACAGAAAGCTTATTTGGCAGAGTGGATGATGGGATACTACCATTAATGGAATATACAGATGCCGTGACCTTTGTCTACAGAAACAATTCTGCAACCTTTATTTAGGTCTTTGTTGGTGTTTTTAAACAAATGCTCCCTTTCCAGTAGTTCTTTCCCATCTACTCTCTTCCCAGAACTTTAGACCGACTAAGTACCAAAAGTTAATGTTTCCTGTTTCACTGAAATCTGAGTTACAATAGTGAGCACTCTATTAAGTAAGTGCTGGACAAATTTTACCAAATATTAGCTAATCCTGTAAACAGGGACTGAAGTTTGGTTTAACATCAAAAGCTTGTATCGGTAGAAAGCAAACGAGGACATGGAGCTGTTGGAACAAGTCCAGAGGAGGCCACAAGGATGATCAGGGAACTGAAGCACCTCCCATATGAAGTTAGGCTGAGAAAGTTGGGGCTGTTCAGCCTGGAGAAGAGAAGGCTGCGTGGAGACCTCAGAGCAGCCTTCCAGTATCTGAAGGGGGGCTATAGGGATGCTGGGGAGGGACTCTTCATTAGGGACTGTAGTGACAGGACAGGGGATAACGGGTTAAAACTTAAACAGGGGAAGTTTAGATTGGATATAAGGAAGAAGTTCTTTACTGTGAGGGTGGTGAGGCACTGGAATGGGTTGCCCAGGGAAGTTACGAATGCTCCATCCCTGGCAGTGTTCAAGGCCAGGTTGGACAGAGCCTTGGGTGAGATGGTTTAGTGTGAGGTGTCCCTGCCCATGGCAGGGGGCTGGAACTGGATGATCTTAAGGTCCTTTCCAACCCTAACTATTCTATGATTCTGTGAATTGTGAATGTATATAATTTTAATGTAGGGTTAGATTCCACTTCACTTTACATTAACTATAAATGCACATAAGAACATATGGTCTCTCCCAAAGAGTTAATAACCTTATCTGAAAGGAAACAGAAAAACTCTACAGGAAAGGTGATGATGCAGGAGTGGAGATGCAGGGAAAAAAGGCAACAGAACCATTAATAGAAAAGACTTAAATAAAGACGAACAAAATGAGCTATGAGTAAATATTTCCTCATAGTTGACCAATTACAATCAAAACCAGCCAGGTAAACCTACCAGAACATCCTCTTCAAGCTTATTAAGTGTTAATTCTGCATCATCTTCTGTTACTTCTTCTTCTTCTAGCTCTTCTGTTGGATATGCTGGCCTGAATTAGTTCAAAGGACAAAAGAGCTTTTAAACACAGTAAATGCAAAATACCTCTGTAAATTGCTCCTAAGCAAACAAACCATTTTATGAGAAGTATGGATGATTTGGAATATGACTAGTAGTCAAATAAATATGACTAGTAGTTAAATAAAACTAACAGCCTTAAAAGTCTTTGTTTGTCTGTCTTAAAAGTAAGGGTTAGTTACTATTCCAAGCAGTACAGTACATTCATGCTACAAAGGCATCTGGGGAGTAACTTTTGATTGGTTTTCTCTTTTGGGCTGACCTCTTAAAATTGAAGTGCAAGTCACCACAGACTTCTTTTCAGCCTCCAGCTGAATGTGTGTACTGAACAGAAGTAACAGTGAAGTATTTCCAAGGTAGATATTACATAGCTGTATGCATTTCCCCCAGACAGGGAAGGAGTGAAGTAAAGAACACTTTTAAAGGAATTTTCATATACTTAAAATTATGTGTCATCTCATTTCTCCCAAGATTTCCTTCAGATTAAATACTCCCAAGTTACTGTAGACTACTCGTAACATGATCACATACTGTGTGTACCTCCATCCTGAAGAAGTCAAGAATTTAGCTATTGATTGATAGGACCTAAAAGGACATCAACTCAACAGTCAGATTAACAAGGAGTTGTGCATAAGAAAATGCCCCCCCAAAAAGTCATCAGTCAAATCTTTATTGATAGCTAAGTTTAGTAGCAGCCCAAACTCATCCTTGGTGGTGACAGACTAAATTGTGTGAAATTGCAATAGGAACTAATTGGTCCCACTGCTTCAAGCCTAGTAGAATTCTATATCTTATGAAACATCAAGGAAGACATTTATAGTCATTACTATGTTTTGTCTTTATAATTACAACTTACATTTGTTTATTGGAAAACAATGCATAAGGGAGAAGTCTTAAAAGTGTACTATACCTTTTCCAGCTAAAACCAGTGTATTTCAAGGCTTCTTCAGCCAAACAGTCAAGAACATAACACACTTGCTCTCCACAACCTGCCTTTAATTTTGAGGGAGGAAAATCCACAGGCCTTCCCTAAAATAAAGAGATATGCTGTTTACTAGTGGCTGCCCATCAATCCAAGTAATGAGATTTCTTACACTAAACCCAAAGTGTCCGTCGTGCATGAAGATTTTACTAATATTAATTCATATTCTTCCCCCATGCAGTTCCAGTCAGGCAAACATAAAGGAAAACAGAACAAGCCAAGGACCAGATGCAAAAGTCTTTAAGCACCTGGTAAAGGCGAAGAGTCAGAAGGGAACTAGATGGTCAAGTGTACAAGTGATGTGGTGGCAATGTAAGAACTACAGAGAAACTCAGGTACTGAGCCTTTCAACACTGCCTTGTTTATTCCTTGTTTTACTTACTGCTGTTCTGCAGAATAAGCATTTTAGTTTGTTATGGTTTAAGTCCTTTAGAGAACAGTGTTAACATCATTCACAGCTGCACCACAGTGTAATTGTGCACAAGATCATACTTCCCATAAGCTCATATATTCTCCTGACCTTTGGGTTTGCTTTCCTTAATATTGAAAAAAATCCCAATAGTTCCTGGCTAGTTTGTGCAACCTTTTACTCCTTCACAATGACAATAAACTAATAGAGGAAAACACGAACATCATTCTAAACCGTTTCCTTCACCGTGACTTTCATCACTGACTGTGGCAGAAGCGGGATCACAAGCACCATGTAAACTTCCCAGATAAAATCTTTGTAAATTATACTGCTATACAAGAGAAACCTCTGTGGCACTACAAGACGTAAGCCAGATTTAATCCATTTCACAGAATGTGGAACAAAACTAACTGGAATCATTCATAATTTTGTAGTGGCAAAAAACCAGCAAGTACGTACAGACCATACAGACTTCCAGTTAACTAATTAACAAACTTCTAGAGATGAAAATCTGCCCAGCCCTTAGGAACACCAGACAGAAGTGTGTCACTGATGTTGTTTCTGAAGGCGATGCACGTGCTTGTAATACCCTGGGGAAACCAGCAAGTTCAACACTTACAAACGATCGCAATTGTGAGAGTACGTTGGATATTATCGCGTTGGGATCATCGTATTCTTGGGGCTGTTCAAAGGGATGTCCTGCTTTAGTGATCAGCCAGGCAGCAAGCATGCAGAACATAAAGAACTGCTCTCCAGGATTAGTGGGCAGTGCAAAGTAGTGCCTGTTTAAACAGAGGAAAAAGATGGTGACTATTTTGGGCTCCTAATGCTATTACGGCATCATAAGCAGCACAGGCTAGAGAGAAGCTTCTTTAACTGACTCTTTCAATGAGTGATCTATCTGAACTAAATTCAGGATGTCTAGTTTTGCACATAACAGAACAGTAGACTAAGTTTTCTATGTGCAGCTCATCTGTTTCATTAAGCTAATAATAAATATCAGACCTCCAAGGAATCACATGGAAACTGGGTACTCCCCTCCCCTGCCAGCAGGATTACATAGCTTCAGTTAAACACCACCAAACTAACATTTCCACATAAGCACAAGTTACCCTTCTTATTTAGCTGAACAGTCTCAAGTCATGATGAGCTCAACTCTGTTCCTATTTAAGGGATGCAGAATCCATCTCATCACTTCATAAAATACCACCATTAATTAAGAGGCTATTAAGTGACCATGTCTCCTTAAAAATAATTGAAGAAATCGTGACAGCAAGTGACTGCAGGAAAACTTGAATGGCCCTTCCTTGAGGAGGGGAGAACAAACTTACTGAAGCCTCATTGCTTGAAGAGATGTGGTCTCTTTCTGCATATTGGCCTCATCCATGACACAGGACAAGGGGTAATGGGTTAAAACTTAAACAGGGAAAGTTTAGATTGGATATAAGGAGGAAATTCTTTCCTGTTAGGGTGGTGAGGCACTGGAATGGGTTGCCCAGGGAGGTTGTGAATGCTCCATCCATGGCAGTGTTCAAGGTCAGGTTGGACAGAGCCTTGGGTGAGATGGTTTAGTGTGAGGTGTCCCTGCCCATGACAGGGGGGTTGGAACTGGATTATCTTAAGGTCCTTTCCAACCCTAACTATTCCATGACTATGCACAGTAACTTCACTTGCTATTCCCTTCTCAGCATCCTCAAACACTCTTCCTGACAACAGCAATACAACCAGTCCCTTTTGCTCCAGATTCCCCCAAACCTCCTCCCACACTCCTCAGGAGTGGCAAGCGGCTGGTGTACCTAAATCAGTGCATTAGACCAGATCAGGAGCAGGCTTTTGAAGCCATCTTTCCATCCATCCCCAGCTACTGTGATTGGGATTGCTTTAGAGAGCAAGGTACACAGACTGGATATTCTTTGGACCACACTAAATTGAAAGATGTGGTCCTAACACAAATTCAGTAGTCAGAACACAGTCAGGTCCCCAAAAGTATAAATCAGAACCAAATGCTTCCCTTTACAGCCATGGCTGCTTACTAAAGTGGACAAAGGTTTACTTCCTTGCTCCAAACGTACTGACAATCTGACAGCTGGCTAAAACCAGCCCACAGCCGCTGCACTCATACTCAAGCCTCTTTCCCAACAAGGTAATAATTTGGACTACTTTTCACCTGATACCAAAATGTTGCTATGGGAAGCCTGCTGTGGAGCCTGGCTGAAACTGATACATGGATATGAGTTATTTGGCCAAGTGAATGTTGGGAGCACAGTGGTCCCGTTTACCCAAGTTCCCTGTCTCCTACCATAACCAAAGAAATTACAGATGAAACAAATATGTGTTAGATATGATAAAAACAGGCTTAAATGCAGTGGGCCAGGCCCCCTTACACACACCCCACAACCAGTTACCCTGAACACAAGAAACTCATTTAGGGTAGAACTATTTCTTGCACAGATACACTGGCACTCCAGTACTGAACACCTGCTGCGGGCAGGGAAGCTCAAGTCACTATTCACTTTCCACACCCCACCATTCAGAGAGACTTCCCGTTTAGAAAGCCTGAAGCCATGCAGCTGACCGGTTCCCACTCGGCTCTGTCACCCGAGACCCAGCCTTCCTTAATCCCTGACACAGAGGCGGAACCGCACGCCGGGGTTTCCCCCCACCCACCGCACACCCTCCTCTGGCCGCAGGCCTGGCCGCGGGGGACCCCCCAGTGTGTGGAGCTTTGTACCAGGCAGCCCAGCCTGTACCAGGCCCCAGCCGACCCCCTCGCCCGCAGCCTCTCCAACGCGTTCGAGGCCAGGCCGGCGCCGGCCGCCCAGCGCAGTGGGCGAGGGGCACCTGGAGAGCGGCCGCATGTTGTGGCGCCGCAGCGCCTCCTCCTCGTAGCTCAGCAGCTTCAGCTTGTCCAGCAGCTCCTCCATCAGCACGAACATGTGATAGGCCGCACCCGGGCCCCGCTCGGCTGCGCCCTCCTCGTCCCGGTCCCGGTCCCGGTCCCGGTCCCCTCCCGCAGCCCCGCGCTTGAGCCCGCCGCCACCCGCGGCCTCCTCCGCCATCTTGGACCGCCGCCACCCGTAACCGGGGCAACCGGCCCTACCAATCCCCGCCTGCCTCAGCCTCGACGCCCACCTCCTTGCCCAATCACACGCTCCCGGGGCGCAGCGAGGCCACGCCTTTTCAGCTCTATCCACCAATGGAGGCGAGGCATGCCGGGGCCAACGTCCAATCAGCGCCTCGCCTCGGCCGCCCATGCCGAGCGCAGGCGCGGTGAGGGGAGGGGAGGTGAAGCGGCGGGCTCTGTGGCGTCCCCTCAGGGGCGGTGGGGCAGCGGCGGGGGGAAGATGGCGCCGTTCCTGTGTTTGGGGCTGAGGGGTGGGCGCTTCCACACTGCCTGCAGCCAGTAAAGCTTTGCGGTGCGGGTAGAGCCTTAGGGAGCGGCGCCCGGCCCGCAGGCACCGCGGGCGGTGTGTTTCGGACGGGTTTGTGGCTGTGCTCCTGACGGGCTGCTTGACCTTGGGCTGGTTTGTGCCGGTTCTGCAGCCAAACGTTTTCCCGATTTAATACCAAGTTGTGAGCATATTGCACCAATCAGGACGAGAGGAGGCATTCACAGCTTCCCTGGGCAACCCGTTCCAGTGCCTCACCACCCTTAAAGAACTTCCTCCTTATATCCAGTCTAAACTTCCCCTGTTTAAGTTTTAAGCCGTTACCCCTTGTCCTGTCACTACAGTCCCTAATGAAGAGTCCCTCCCCAGCATCCCTATAGGCCCCCTTCACACACTGGAAGCTGCTATGGGGTCTCCACTCAGCCCTCTCTTCTCCAGGCTGAACATCACGCTCTCTAATGCCCGAGCACGGTCCCCAGGTGCCATCACCACTGCTGCAGCAATCACCTTCCTGACAATTAACATGAAAGGGTTTGTTCAACAAAGCCGGGCAAAATAAACGGCTAAGAGAAAAAGTTTTATAAGCCCAAAGAGGGAGAAGAGAAAGCAAAAGGAGTGGACGCTTTATGTGTATAGAAACATGATTCGTGCTAGAGAAGCAAACTTGATTTTGGGGCAGGAAAGGACTTGTAAATGTTTAAGCCATAGTATGCAAAGGTGAGGCAGTGAAAGGGACGGGGAGACGCCAAGTTCTGCGGCTTTGGGAGTGCTGTATATTCATCTTCTTTATGCATATATACACACACAAATCCTGCCTGCATGAAACACCTGAAACAATAAGATTGATTTTCTTGGGCTACTTGTGAAACCATAAGAGGGAAAAAAACCCTGTTGTCCTTATAACAGCTCTATGGTGTACGGCATGGGGAAGGAATACGATATGTGTGTAACGACTAAAACACAGTGTTTTTTGCTACTTCCTAAGACAATTTTGGATGTTTAGAATGAGGAAACCTTGTTCCTTTGGACCGTTTCTCAACAAGTGAAGTCTGGAGTTAGCATTTGATTGTAAGGGTTTCACTGAGGGGAGGCAGAGATTGAGTTCTCTTTGCGGTACAGAACGTGCTCCCTGAAGGGTTCAGTGGTGAAGCTGTGGAAAGCTAGTATCATTGGAGCTAGGACAAGAACTCAGCAGCGTGTGCTTAACGTGGGGCTTTTAGAACTTTACACATTTGTTTGTCTTGTTTGCATGTTGGTAAAACTCAAAATCCTCAAGCATTTGAAGACAGGCTCAGAAAGTTGGGGCTGTTCAGCCTGGAGAAGAGAAGGCTGCGTGGAGACCTCATAGCAGCCTTCCAGTGTCTGAAGGGGGGCTATAGGGATGCTGGGGAGGGACTCTGCATTAGGGACTGTAGTGACAGGACAAGGGGTAACGGGTTCAAACTGAAACAGGGGAAGTTTAGATTGGATATAAGGAAGAAATTCTTTCCTGTTAGGGTGGTGAGGCACTGGAATGGGTTGCCCAGGGAAGTTGTGAATGCTCCATCCCTGGTGGTGTTCAAGGCCAGGTTGGACAGAGCCTTGGGTGAGATGGTTTAGTGTGTGGTGTCCCTGCCTATGGCAGGGGCGTTGGAACTGGATGATCTTAAGGTCCTTTCCAACCCTGATTATTCTATGATTCTAGGATTTTCAGTCCTCTTAAGTATGTATGCTTGAAATGTGCTGCTGTTACCTTGAAAAGGAATTAATCAGAATCCTTTTTACCAAGGAATAGGTAATTTTTGTTGCACATGTATACTTTATGCCTGTAAAGACCCCAGACCCGCTGCAGACTGGCCAGAGCCTCCACTCCTCAGGTTTTCCTGCAGACCAACAAACCTTTTGCTCGACACACTAAGATTTGTGTTGAACGTGGAAGCTTTCAGCTAACTAGTTCTAGTTCTGTGTTTCAGCACAGCGCTTGCAATGGAGTACACCTAGATGATGTGAAGTAGCCTGTGCTGTCCCTGTCCAGGCTTCACTCCCTGATGCAGCCCCAAAAGGCATCACAGAGGTACTGTTGGAACGATGTTACTCAGAGCATCGCTGCCAGTTGGCTGTGATTGTCTATTGTATGTGGCAGATCACTCACAAAGGGAAATTTAGTATTGATTGCATTTTCTGAAATTCAAACACCCAGCACAATGTATTGTATCAATCAAGTTGGAAGTGATGGGCAAATGAGCAAAAAATCCAATCAAACATGATGTACATAATGCAGGGAGAAAAGTAGGCAGATCCTGGCGATGGCTGCTACCATGGAACAAAATTGTACACCATAAGTGCTTGTTTTAATCTTGCATCATCTCTCTCTGGTTTAATGTTTTGGTGCCCTTCTGTTGTTTGGTTTTGGGTTTTTTTTCCACCCCTAAAAGTGAGAATACGTAAAATAAGCACACTAGCTTTACAAAAGAAATAACATGCAAAAATCCATGGGATGTAACACTCACATCCACTACAAATACCGTCACACCAGTCAAAACTAGTCCATACCATTAAAACCTGGCTAACAGTCCTGGCTAAACTTATGCCCTGTGTAAGTTAGGTATGGCTCCTAATCTTTGGGTAGAAGAAAAGGACCAGTAGCAGCTCTTTAAACTCTTTGCAAAGCATTTGGTTCGGGAGGTAATTCCACCGCTGCAGCACGCTGTGTTTCAGAATAGCATGGCTGGGTGGAGGAAGAGTGGGGCCTGTCAGTTGAGGTACCATTATTCCTTTCTCATTGCCCACAGGAGCTTCCAGTTCATTGTTATTTAAAAGATAAACCAGAAGGTATGATGGGTGAGCTTCCTCCTTTGCATTCCTACGCTAGACTTCCATACGTGCGCTTTTGGAAGTTCAGCTGATTGTGACCTGTTGAAGACTAAGTTCTTTGTATCTGTGGCATTTGCAAATGCAGGCTAATTCCCTACCCCACAAAGTCAAATGTTGCAGTAATCAGAAGTACATTTCAGTAAGCAGAAAAAGCTGGCTTGACAGGGGATGTCTTACAGCAGCTTGGAAATCGTACTTAATCATTCAGTGTCCTGTTCATGAATGATGAAGGTTCGTGTTCCCTAGCCCTGTGAGAACACTGAGGGCGATCACTTTATTAAAAGCGATCAGCAAGGGATTACACGTAAGAAGAGGCCTCAACCATTACGATATGTATAGCATTGCATAATGATCTTAAGGCCAAAAATCTGGGCCAAGACTGTTGCAAACAAAAGTCATGATGCAAAGGAACGACAGACCTTAATTAACTGTACAAAGGGAATTATATAATGAGAGTACATCTTTTGTTTGTGCTTAAACAGGTTTTCTTCCCTCATTTCATGCTGTCAGTTTAACATGAGTCTACCGTGAACTGGAGAAGACATGAAGGGAGAGTGTCCTGGGTTCATTGTACTTCCCTTCAAGTGCATCCTTAATTGCCCAGGTTGAGTGCTGGGGGTGCATGGGAGTGGAGAGCAGCAAGCACTGTTCATGTTTGAGCAATCCGCAGGAATTGGTTGAGGAAAAAAGGACTATGAGATTTTAACTCACCATTTTATCCTCCTCCTCAGCTTCACTGGAAATTCAGTTCAAGTAAATAACTGGTACATTTCAAGCTCTCCTGTTTCTTAGGGAATACTTGTTTCATTGGATCAAGAGCAGTTCCCTTGTGAGATGTGCATGGCTGCTTCCATTGCCCTGATTTCCCTGTAAAGTGTACCCAGACACTCTGAGTTCCTAATCCACTGCATGTGCTTCAGAACACGAGTGCAGTTTTCAGTTTACATAGGACAGCTTACAACATGGAAAGTTTCAAGTATGGTACAAAGCCACAAGAGCCCTGTAACTGTCTATTTTGTTAATCTATCCTTCTGATCCACAGGAGAAAAAGGCATATCTCATGTGTTTGAATTTCCCTGCATCCATCTATCCTCCTGCTAGAACACCCTGAAAACATACTGCTTTCCTTTTCCTTGTAAAATAGCACAGTGGGGTACAGTTTTGGTTTGTCCTCATGGGTTTCAGACCTGCAGCTCTGATCATTCAGCCCCACACACCGAAAGCAAGTGTCAGAATAACATATAGTTCCTTCTGCAGCAGATTGCCACGCTCCACAGTCTCCTCTGGTTTTGCTTCCTTTGCAGCAAATCCCTCCTGTCACATCGGTAGCTGTGCTGTGATATTAATTTGTCTTACACTGGTATGTCATATATTAGCTGTTAGTTCCAGTGAAACTGCTCTTTACTTCCTTTCTTTAAAGCTACGCATTCATTGTGTTTCACACGTGTGAAGTACCTAAGTCCGCCAGAGCTGAAAATCATTTCTAACTAAATACAAGCTTTTAGTCTGTTAATGCAATTGCATTGTAACAGTTTTATCCTTTGCACTTCGAATGTGAAAGTTGCATTTTGCCTCTGCTCCCAACATGTGGAATTTCATGCTACTTCACTTGTGGCTTAGACCAGACTGAATCACTTTCATTTTTGAGCCCCCCAGTTAAAGCAGAAGCAGGCAAATGACACCACCATAATTTGGTATATGATGCCAAATTAGGTATTTTTGACATTATGTTATTTATTGGTATCAGGTACCAATTGGATATTTTTTGATGCAAGATAGGTTTGCTTTTAAAATCTTCAGATGCTTCTGGAAATATACTGTGATGCTTGAATATACCAAAATCGTGACATGTGTTTTTATGTTGGTCTATAGTTGTATCAGACTCCAGAAAAGAGTCAGAACATGTCTAGATAACCTGCACAGTACTTTCCAAGGAAGTTGCAGGGAGTTCTTCAATTATCTGTTTCAGACCGGCTGTCTAATGCAGGAGGAAGCAGCACTGCAATTCCTTGTGGATATAGCAGTGAGACTGCTGTCAGTGAAGGTCTCACAGAAACGCAGTGATTTCAGTGCTGGCCTCCTACAACGGCACATCTCACTCTTGCCAGCCTCGAGTCCGGATTAACCAAAGTGATTTTTCACTGACCTTGGATGATCTCACTGCAAGCAGCAGTGGAGAGTATCTGTGCAATGCTTCAGTGCCTCACTACACAACGCTTACTGCGAGAGCTCTGCAAGTTGGGAAGTTGCCCCTCCTTCCAGTTTGGAGATGGGCACCGGCAAGGGGACCGCAGAGCCAAAGCGACAGTCAGACAGAGCGAAAAACATCACCTTGAGCAATTAATACAAGGGTGTAGAAGGGAGGTTTTATTATTGTTGTCCCGTGGAGAAAGAAACGTTACTCAAGATGGATTTATTTAAAGACCTGAAGTTTCTTGTTTTCAGTCAGCAGCTTCCTATGGCAAGGGTCTCAAAAGCAGTGGCTGCCCTCAGTTACCACCAACGGCCCTCAGAGCTGAGGGCACAGGGAGACTCTCAGGATCATGTCTTAGATGCTCTGCTGATAGCAAATATGGTCTTTAAAGGTGACAGGGAAGCCCTAAGGTGTGATAGGAATTTGCCTGCAGAAGAAACGTTGTTGAGGAGAACACACAGTTGTTACTTTCAAAGCTTTCAGTCTACACAGCAGGTGGTGTTTTACACCTGGGGTTGTATGTTTATATGCATGCCTGTGTTTTTTATGAGCTGGAGTACATTTCCAGTGGTGAAGTCTTAGTTAACAGTTATTTCCCTGTCTCCAGTTTCAAGACTGGGACTTCCTGATTGCTTTCCTAGCTCTTGAAAACTCACTGAAGGTTAAAAAAGATAGATAGACTCCATATTTCTATAATTAAAGTGCAAACAAGGTAGAGATTTGTTCAGAAATAGAATGTTTGGGATGCAGCCCAAAGGGGAAAAAAAAGAATCCCCAAACGTTCCAACAGTAACATAAGCATTTTATGCAATTACAATCACCTAAAAGACCAGGAACTAATGAGAACTTGAAGCAAGCCAGTAGTACCTGAAAAAGAGGCAACATAGCAGAAAAAGGGCTAGAATAGGTGATAAGAACTGCATATTCTTTATTTCCTTCCTCCTCCCCTATTGTAGCTTAGTTACAGCCTGAAAACTTGATGTCAGGTGTGTTTTAAATGGCAGTAGCTATATGTGAGCTAGAGGAGGGGAGTCAAAGCAAACAGGTAAGTCAGACAAACACTTTCTTGCAGCTCAAATTCCAGCATGATCTTCTTTGTCCTGTGAACCTAGCATCGTGCTTCCGAAGTGGAAAGCATCAAACACCTCCAAGGAGTTACACACTTAACTGATGCTCAAATTCATATATGTTTACTGGAGACAGATGCAAGCACCTGCCCAGTCCAAATATGATCGGAGCATCCTCTACAAATGCCTTTCTCTTGCTGCTCTCTGCAGTTGTATCTTGCAGTAGCCGTAAGTGATACCAATACCCTCTTTAGTGGCTAAGTTACTGTTCCACTCACAGAACTGCAGAACAGAGAAGACACCAGGATTATTGGCTTTGGGGCAGCACAGCTTGAAAGCAGACAAGCAGATAGGGACAGTAGGGCATAGGGGAACGAGCTAGATTAGTATGCTGGACAACGCTCACGGCACAGCAGTTGCTCAACTACCAGAAAGATTTCCAAGTGCCATTGGAAAAGGAGACTTTTAAGGGGAGAAGTGAGATGAACTTGCAATCGTTTCAGATCTATGTAAAGAAAGGTTGCAGCTTAAAGCTGCTCTACCAAAGGCATTGACAAGATGTTAACATAGGCCTGCATGTGGGGACAGAGCCAAGCTAAAGGCAATGACTAGATTAAATGTTCTGGTTTGGGAGTGATTCTATTTTAACTGTTTGCCAGACATCCATAGGGAATCTCCAGAGGCATGTAGAATTTTTCACATTCTTTGAATGAGAAGCAACAGTGGAAAGGAAGCCTGAAGTGAAAGAATTGCACTTAAGGAATGAGTCCTCGTGGTCTGAGTGTTCTCATGTTGAAATTGGTGGGAGTAATGAGATGCTTGGTGCCTTATCTCCCATGGAATTCATTGCTACCACTCACCTTGGGATCTGCTGCTTCTTGTGCCCGCCTGGATTGCATGGTTGCACCATGGAGTTAGAAAATGTTTTAGATGAGAAGTGCAAAGATTTCACAACAGAAATTAGGAAATCTATGGTCCAGGCTGGATAACACTGAGTTGTTCTATTGGAAATCAGCAGTACCATTAATGGTGCTGAGCACTGCACCTAGAGGCACTGTACCTAGAACCATACTGGGGCACTTGACTGTTTTAAATGGGACTTGTGTGAAGGAAGTGTCAAATGATGCTACATGAGCACGGGTGGAATTGTGTATCAGCGCAATTCAGTAAAATGATCTGCTTTCAGCTATTTACACCTATGTAATTAAAGAATCACTTTACAGTGTGGGTCAAGCAAATTGAACATTGTTGTAGTAGTAACATTGGAAAGAAACTGAGACACTCTCCCTCAATCATAGCTTTTAGACTATAAATAAGAGAAAAACCATACCTTTGATACACTGATTGAACAGTAGTGGACATTCATTTGCAATACCGAGCACTGCTGTTAAACTGTTGGGATTTGTATTTTTAAAGAGAATTCAGGTAACACGTGGGACCTTGTCACAGGAGTGACTGTTGCAGTGATGTTGCTGGCAGTAATCATTGGCTTTGTCTGCTTCTTGCACAAGGTGTGTACAATCACTAGGGGATTCAGGTTTAGAGGTACTATGAAGCTTAAATCCAGACCTTGACTGTTGAATTAAAACATGAGTTTGATTTTCCTGGGATAAAGCGTACAAGAAAGAATCAAAATGTAGAACTGTGAGTCTCAGCATAAATAAACTGTCCTCATTCTTGTTATTTTCTGTGTCCACAAGGTCCCATTTGGTCCTGAACACAATAGTATGTTGGTTATAACAATGTTAACGTGCCCTTCCCTTGACCAGGTGCTCTCCTGTGCTCTATATAGACTTAAAAATTGGTCACTCTTCACAAATACTTTCTGATAACTCGCTTTAAAACAACCAAGCTGGTTTGTGTTCTTTTAATCAAACAAAGGAACCCCCGAATAAGCCAAACAAAATCCTTCAAACCAAAACAGAAAGTGCCCAAGCAATGCACATACCTAGTCTTCATTAGGGCCCAGATTACTGTGTCAATTACATCCAATGGCAAAGCTCACCAAAACTTCAGTGTGAAAAGTTATACTAATTTATATTATATATAATATATACTAATATATAATTATATATATAATATATACTAATATAACAACTAAGGAGACTGTTACAACCATATAGTCCCTGATCTCAATACTGTTTGCAGCTCTTGAATTTACTGGAGCACAGCATCTTCAAGTGGATGCATTTTATTCTTGTGCATTTGTAACAGGCTGGCTCTGTCTTAGAATGTTCTGTCTCCTGCATTTGTGGTGAGCATCCTTAACAAATGAACTTAGCTCTTAGTCCTTAGGATCCATCTTTCTGTGTCTGACAATATAGTCCTATCCATGGGGAGATACACCTTCAAACTCCCTGGGCCTGAAGATTTTGGCACAGCCCGAGTTTGTTAAAGCTTCAGGAGATGTTTTATGATGGTTACCATCATAAGGGTCAATAAGAACACACCAGAAAGACAACTCTAAAAGTACTAGGTCTCAGTCTTTTCTCATTTTTCTCTCACTTACAGGTTCACTTGCACGCTTCTTATTAGTCATTTTAATGCTATCTTGCATTGGAGATGATAATGTACTTTTGAGATGCAGTTGTTTAAGGAATTTAAACAAGATTCATTTATCTTGGGACCTGTTGAGACCTTTGACACATCACAATCAGAGGAAGCGGAACAGTTTACAGGTTAACTCGGCTCCAGTTACATTGATGGAGGACTACATGGAAGAAACAGGAATGTTTCTGCACTGTTATGTGGGGGTTAAAACTTAAACAGGGGAAGTTTAGATTGGATATAAGGAGGAAATTCTTTCCTGTAAGGGTGCCGAGGCACTGGAATGGGTTGCCCAGGGAGGTTGTGAATGCTCCGTCCCTGGCAGTGTTCAAGGCCAGGTTGGACGAGGCCTTGGGTGATAGGGTTTAGTGTGAGGTGTCCCTGCCCATGGCAGGGGGGTTGGAACTGGATGATCTTAAGGTCCTTTCCAACCCGAACTATTCTATGGTTCTGTGTTTGTTTTACTCAGATAATGTTAAAATGGAAAATACTGACTGGATAGCGACTGTGTCTTGTTCTGTTCCCATACAGGATTCAGTTTACACATTAGTAGTTCTTACAAGCATTTTTTATCTTCCTAGAAACACAAAAGGAGTCTTATGAGCACCTTGACATAGTGGGAGAAAATCCCTCTCTGCACACACAAATGCGATTGTCTGAGCAACGGTAGCAAGCAACTGAACTGGTAGAAAGAAGAAATAAACATAAGTCAATTGACACTAGAATGTGAGGAGTCAGCACGGAACATGAGAACTTGGGTATCCTAAAGGGGCAGCAAAGAACTTCCCATAGAAAAAGAATCAGTTTTGTGGGATTTTCTCCCCCCCGTATGAGGGAAGGAGAAGGGTTCCTGTTTTGCACTTCATTAAGTATCTTAATGTCAAGCAGAGACAACGTACCTGTTCAAAATATCTAAGAGAACACCCTGTTCCTGAGTCACAGGCAGTCCTGATGGAACATGTCTCTCCACAGCATCTCCTGTCTATCTCTCCTGCAGCTGGCGAACAAAAGTGCTTTGGAAGCCGTGGAAGCCTCTAAACTGTTCATAAGCAAAAGGTGACTTTCTGCTCTCCTACAAAACTCGTACAGACTGCGACTGGCAGGACAGAGGGAAGCTGGGTTATCCCAGGTTTAATGCTGTGCCCTGCCCTGCCCAGCTTTAATCTGTGCTGCTTTAACAGTCTGCATGCGAAATACATAAGCGCTGTGAAGCATGACTGGATTTGCCCTTGGTTTTGATTTTGTCAGAGATCTGCCAATTAGTATTTGTTCCAACATAATGAAGTGGGCTGTTGGCAAGATGTAATCCTTTATTGATCCCTGGGGCTTGGCAAAACAGAAACATAAATAAATGAATGGAATACACTATGCAGTCTCTTTGGATTTTCACTTGACGTTTATTTCTGTAAGTGCTTATTTATCTCTACATCTGTTTTCAGTTGTGCCCGATTATATCGAGCATCTTCTCATATCTGTCAGCTTGGACTGCATTTACTCCTCTTCATGAACCTGAAATGAAATGGAGATAGCATACAACAGTTAAAAATGGAAGCATTGAGGGGGTGTTAGAGTAAGTTCACAAATAAATGACAAAAGCTTCTCTTCAGTAATTCTTCTGAGTTTGTATCTGAAATAGACTAGCACCAACCGAGCCAACCTTTGCCATCGTGCTTCAGCTAATAATACTGGTTTCTTGTCCTCATGCTAGAGCACACATCCCTTTGATAGCAGATGACTTCTATACAGCTCTGTTTCAATAGGTGGTGGTGGTTGTT